GGTATTTTGGGCTTTATGAGCTTGATCCACTTCATGTAGGTTGTTAAATTTATGTGTGTAGCATTTTTATTTTGACAGGCAGAGCTAGACAGTGAGAGAGAGACAGAGAGAAAGGTCTTTCCGTTGGTTCACCCCTCAAATGGCCACTACGGCCGGCACGCTGTGCCGTTCCGAAGCCAGGAGCCAGGTGCTTCCTCCTGGTCTCCCATGCGGGTGCAGAGCCCAAGCACTTGGGCCATCCTCCACTGCCTTCCCCAGGCCACAGCAGAGAGCTGGACTGGAAGAGGAGCAACCGGGACAGAATCCGGCGCCCCAACCGGGACTAGAACCTGGAGTGCTGGTGCTGCAGGCGGAGGATTAGCCAAGTGAGCCGTGGCCTGTGTGTAGCATTGTTCATACTATTTTCTTTATATCCTTTTTATATCTGCAAGATATATAGCGATAAAATCTGTTTTACTCTGAAAATGGTGACTTCTTGCTTCATTTTTTGTCAGTCTTGTTACAGATTTTTTCAATTTTAATTTTTAAAAAAATGTTTCCTTGATTTTATTTGTTGTTTTTTTTTGTTTGTTTGTTTTGAATATCAATTTCATTGATGTCTGCTTTCATCTTTGTTATTTCTTCTGCCTATTTTGGATTTATATTGCTCTTCTTTTTCTGGGTTCTTGAACTGAGCTTAGGTTAGTCACTTGGAACTTTTCTCTTTTCTAATGTAGGAATTTAGTGGTACAAATTTTCCTCTCAGCACTTCTTTCTTTCATGTTGTAACACTCAATCTGATGTGTCATATTTTCATTTACATTCAGCTCAGTGTATTTTTCCTATCTTTTGAGATTCCCTTTATGACTCATAGATTATTTAGACTCTACATGCTTTCCATTTTCACAAATTACTTGGAAAGAATGTATATTTTGATTTGGGATAGTGTGTTCCATGAAATGAGACAGACCATATCCTGTGCCATAAAACAAACTTCAAATACTTCATAAAAATGGAAATGATCCAGAGTGTGTTCTCTAACACAGAGAAATCAATCCAGGAAATCAATACAAAACTATTACAGAGAAATCTCCACACACTTGAACAACATTCCTCTAAACCATAAAGATGACAACAGACAAAGGAAGGGGTAGCATATCTAGTTACTGCCAATTTGACTTAGAAGTCCAGGTTCCTCATCAGCCTGGTTTGACACTTGGGGGGAAGGGGCCCTTTTTATTACTGTTGGACTGGAGTTGGGAATGGGGCTTCCCACAGACCTCTGCTGATAGCACGATGACTGAGGGGTGCGAGTGATTCCTTACTACTCCCCTGTCACCAGCAGGGGGCGGCCTTGCTGCTGTTGAGTAGCGGTCAAAGTTCTAACAGTGTATTCAGCAGCCTCTGACCCCTCTGCTTAGCGGGAGAGGGCTCCTTACTGTTGGGTAAGTTGCATATCCAGGCTCTGTAAATGATCTCCACTGACTCTGAGCAGGGGAATCATTATCCCTCGGCAGAGCTGAAAATCATGATTTCCCTGTTTGTCTTCTCTAACAGCAGAGGGACCAAGTTTTACGATGCTTCATTACAGCCTAGCAAGGGTGGAAACCCAAGCTCTCCACTTAAACGGCCTTTTACTAGTCGAGGAAAATTTGGGGTCTCCAATTTGTGCTTGGAGGGGCCAGAGATGTGGTGTAGTAGGCTAAGCCTCCGCCTGAGGCACCAGCATCCCATATGGGCGCCAGTTCATGTCCTAGCTGCTCTTCCGATCCAGCTCTCTGCTATGGCCTGGGAAAATAGTGGAAGATGGCCCAAGTCCCTGGGCTCCTGCACCCGTGTGGGAGACCCAGAAGAAGCTCCTGACTCCTGGCTTCGGAGCAGCCCAGCTCCAGGTGTTTTGGCTATTTGGAAAGTGAACCAGCAGATGGAAGATCTCTTTCTTTGTCTCTCTTTCTCTCCCTGTCTGTAACTCTACCTTTCAAATAAATAAATAAAAATTTAAAAAGACTCAGTATATTATATCAAGAGGAAAAAATAAAATTACTGAAACAATCAAATGAAAAAAATTGTGCTTGGCTGTCATTGCAATTATTATCAAAAAATTTTTGTTATCCTAGGGTGCTCCTTTCCTTGTCTTTGTTAGAGACAGCAGAGTTTTCTTGGGCCTTTTTTTAAAAATTTGTTTTATTTATTTGAAAGGCAGAGTTACATGGGGGGCGGGCAGGAGGAGGGAGAGAGAGAGAAATTTTCCATCTGCTGGTTCACTCCCCAACGACTGTAACATCCAGGACTTGGCCAGGCTGAAACCAGGAGCCAAGAGCTTCATCCAAGTTTCCCACAGGTGTGCAGCCGTCTTCTGCTGCTTTCCCTGGTGCATTAAGTGGAGCAGCAGGGACTTGAACTGGTGCCCATATGGGATGCTGGCGTTCCAGGCAGAGGGTTTACCCACAACGCCAAAACACCAACCTCTTGGGGGCTTAGTTGCCTGCACATGTTGGCATTTAAAGTTTCCTGTCTCCTGCAGCATCTGGTCCAGAACACACAAGGAAAAAGAGAATTCAAGCGTCTCACCATTGTGTTGTTCCTCAGGTCCTCATTTAGTCTGCTTTATTCTCTCCACTTTACAGCATCTTACTCTTTTAATGTATAATATCCAAGGTTTTAATTTGTACTTAGTGGCCAAAAGAGGGAAAATATTTCAACTTAATTTTCTCAAAAACAGAAGTTTATGAAGAACTTTTAAACTGCATATATGGTATGTCATATCCTGCTTAAATTCTTAAATTATTTCACATAGCTTTTATAATGAATATCAAAAAATTCAACAGAGACAAATACCTGCATTGTTTAGCCTTGTCTACTGACACAGGCCAATTTTTTAACCGTTTTCCTCTATCTGAGTGCTTCTGGCTGTTGTGCAGGATCTCTGACATGCCATGTTATGGCCTGCTATAGAATATGTGCACCTGCTCTTCCTTCCACTGTAGATATTCCATCTTCATCCACCTAGTCCCCCATTTTTCTCCTTTACTTTGTTTACTTCTGTGATACATTCACTTTCTTATCTGTTACTTCCTCCTGTCAGCCTTTCCACCCTTATCACCTCTGAGACACACTTATAATCTTAGGTCAGGTTTCTTCATATATGTACACTTAGTAATATATCATATATATAAACTTAATCATATATTATGTATTATACATGCATATATACGTAACTTTACAGTTCTCACCTCACCTTATAATTCCACACATTTATATGTGTAATTTAACAAGCCTGTGTTTCACTGCCTAAAATGTACATGCCATCAAAACAAGGGCTATGTCTCTTCTTCAAGCTCTGTATCTCTACTTCTGGAAAAATATTTCTCACTAAGGGCATGCAAATGGTAACTAATCTCTGGTTGATCATCTAAAAGAAAGATAATTGGAATGCAGAGAATGAGAAGGATAGCCTCTTAAAGCAGAGTGTTGGTGTGGAAAAGTCAGACTGTGGTAAAGAATATCTCCTTTGTCTTTAGTGACTTCCCTGATTCATTGCTTTTAATAGTGACAATGCTCTTATGACATAGGCAGTATTGCTTTCTGGATCTAAGTTGCCAGGGTGCTTAGCTGCCTACGTTTTCTTTTCACCTGGCATTATCCCATTTCTTTCCTCATAAAAACCTGCCCCCTCTAGTCTTCAGACTCTGTTAGAAAAAAGTCACTTTGATTTGAATTTGGAGTAAAGATCAATTGAAAGATATGGGGACAAATTCTTATTTTTTCCAGAACTAGTAATTCTATTTGTAGTTGGAATTTTTGGTTACATTAATGCTGAGCTTTCAGATTAGTGTAATCTGAATTGCAATTAATTATACATTTAATGTCACTCTAGTACTTAACTTTATATCAGAATGTATCTCCATCCTTTAAAGAATTCCCTGTGATCTTCCATATAATATTTAACACTGAGTCTATCTCTATGTAAAATGAATGCTTTAGGAAGGAAGGAATTGGATTGTTTCTGAAGGGAGCTGTACTTGTATAACTCACCTAATCAAATTCCTGCCTTCCCTTATCATTAATATTTCTTTTAGCTCAGAACAAGTAATGAGAAGATTCATATTTTTAGTTTAAGTAAAGTAAATTAGAAATGTCTCACTAGGCAGAGCTGAAATGAAAAAGTTGAAGTCCTCCACAGAAAAAAGAAAACAAATTCTTGTGAGATGATATTAAGAAATGCAGGGAAACCAAGTATTTTCTCTAAATTCTGGTGAAGAGTCTAACATTTCTGAATAACTTGGTGATAGTATTTTTTCTCTCATTCTTTCATTTAGCAAACATGTATTAGTTGCTCATTACATGCCATGTAATGATTCTAGTTCCACATTTTCTTTTATTTGTGCAATTATTCTTGATTTCATGCAGGCACAAGGTATCCCCCAGATTCTTCTATCCTAGTCATGACTTCAAGAAATAGTTCAGGTAAACAAGGTAAGTCCAGCTGTTATTCTTTATACAGCCATGCTTTGCGAATCTAGCACTCATTTCTAGCATTAATTTCCCTCTTAGAAAAAGAAGAGAAAATACAATTAATTCATCCCAATATTAGACTTTACGAAACAGATGCTATGGTAGCCAATGTTTCAATGTATTTGCATTTGCAGGCTTTTTAGGTTTTACTTTCAAATAATAAATGTAATACAGGGAAATATCAGTATATTTATATAAAAATAAGCAATATAGTACAGAATATTTAGCAAAATATTCAAGCAATGTAGAAGTATAAGTTGGAAATGGCGAATATTTTCATGTCTGCTCCCCTAATATCAGTAATATGGTGTGCATCCTTCCAAAGTTGTTTCAATGTATATAAATAGCTATATTCTTTTATAATTTTAATATAAATATTACTAATCAGCTAGAAAGAATAAAGTGAATATATATGAATTTATATGGAAGGATAACCTCAACATCATAGAAGTAGTGGAAAAAATTGACTTGCAGCACAGTACAGAAAACATTTATGTAAAACTTACCTTTAAAATTGAGGATTCATTTTCATTTTCATCTTTATCCGCAGTAGACCTAGGGGAAAAATAAAGACAGACTGTAAAACTTAGGAAATATTAATCTAGAAATTACTATATCAATGAAATTTTAAAATCATACATTTAGCAGTTAATATTCTCATTCATTTATGATTGTAAAGGACCTGCCCTTCATCTTCCATAAAATGTCTACTGTTGGCAAAAGAAAAAATGTTATGTATTATTTGTAAAACAAACCTTAGAAACAAGCCTGAGACCTCTTCTACATGGTCAGTTTCTTAAAGTAACATTAGAAGAGATGGAGAGAGAAAAGTGCAGTCTTTTGTCAAATTACTTTAAAAAATGTGTGTGTGTTCATGCATGTGCCTGCATATACAGGAACCAACAAAGAAATTATATTTTGTTGGTCATATGATATTGGAAAGAGTTTCTTATCCTCAAGTTGAGAGTACTAAGATTGATGTTACAGAAAATGAGTATACAATAGTTATTCATGGGCTTCTATGGTGAGGATACTATGAGCATATACATTTTAAATTGTGAATAACATAAATCATGATGAATCAAATTCTGTATATTCAATACAAATCAAATCAAGTAGTAAATTCAATACAGTCTATGGAGTAATGTAAAAAAAAAATCCTAGTAATGTCCATTGAGTTATATATCAGTTGCTGTAAATGTTTGATGATGATTCATGGAATTTTAGACAACAGCCTATAGTTAGCCAATAGTTTTTACAAATAATTTTCTGATGTTTAAAAAAACAGTACGGGCCGGCGACGCGGCTCACTAGGCTAATCCTCCGCCTTGCGGCGCCGGCACACCGGGTTCTAGTCCCGGTCGGGGCGCCGGATTCTGCCCCGGTTGCCCCTCTTCCAGGCCAGCTCTCTGCTGTGGCCAGGGAGTGCAGTGGAGGATGGCCCAAGTACTTGGGCCCTGCACCCGCATGGGAGACCAGGAAAAGGACCTGGCTCCTGGCTCCTGCCATCGGATCAGCGTGGTGCGCCGGCCGTAGCGCGCCGGCCACGGAGGCCATTGGAGGGTGAACCAACGGCAAAAGAAGACCTTTCTCTCTGTCTCTCTCTCTCACTGTCCACTCTGCCTGTCAAAAAGTAAAATAAAATAAAATAAAATAAAATAAAAACAGTACGAATATCATCAAAAATATTTAAGACTACTATGTGCTATGATTATAATGAGTATTTGTCACAGTGATACCCAGATATGATATAGAAAACTCTAGTAATCAAAATGAAACACAAATCATCTTTGCAGCAAAAATGTAACCATTATTGAAGTAGAGTTGTTCAGTATGGTAGATTTTATGATTCATAAAATATTCCTTCTCCTCCCTTTTGGGGGATAAGTATACACTTTTTGTCTCTAATGATGTTAGGGTTGCTCATGTCAATAGTAAGAGTGGATGTCTAAACAGAAGCTTAAAATATATTAAGTGTCTTGTTCTTCTGTGCCACTGCCATTTTCCACGTGAATAGATCTATCCCAGATAGGAGTTAGCTTTTTAAGCCTGGTTCTGAAATAGGAATAATTATGGAGTAGACCAGACACTGTCTTACAGTCTGAAAAGTCATCTTAGTCATCACAATCTTGTGAATGAGAAATAATTTTTTGTTATAAATCACAGAGATTTGGAGATTGTTATGTAGCATTATCCAGATCCAAAGTAAACTAGTGGGATGGGTGTTGTGGCACAATTTGTTAAGCCACCATTTGGGATCCCCACATCCTATTTCAAAGTGCCTGGGGTTGAATCCCACCTCTGCTTCTCATCTAGCTTCCTGCTAATTTGCCTGGGAATCAGCAGATGATGGCCCAAGCAATGCTATCCATATGAGAGATCTGGATTTGGTCTGTCCCACCCCACGTTGTTGTAAACATGAAGGCATTCGGGGAGAGAACCAGTGGATGGAATTTTGTGGGCGATCTCAGCAGTTACCTGAGCCCAGGCACATTTCTCCCCACCTCCACCTTCTGCCAATCAGGTAAACTACTCCCAGATGCCACCCAGGCCCATTAGGTGCACCTGGGGAGCCATCTTGTCTATGTGACATTCAAGCTGATTGGATAGGCATATTGGCGCCAGTGTCCTTTCTGCTCTATGGTCAGTGTTCCCCCATAATTGGTTACGCCCCTTTTACCTGCCCTTTATAATGTACGTGCTTGTGATTAAACATGGACATGTTCACCGAAGCCTGTCCTGGGTGTCTTTGTGGAGGGAAAAGGCACCGCCGCCCTACTCATCTTCGACAGTGTGGCTTAGTGGCAGAATTCTCTCTCTCTCTCTTTCTCCCCCAGTCTCTCTCCCTCCCTCTCTTGTCTCCCCCTCTCTCTGTCATTCTACCTTTCAAATGAATAAATAAAACTTTAAAATAAAAGAAAGTGAGTAATTGGATATATTGCCTGAAGTTATTGCACACCTTAGTCCTGAAGAAAAGATATTTTTCTGCACTGTTTGCTTTATCATCAGTATTAATTAATGATATTCTATTTTAAAAATTAGTATGAAATTTTTGTACTAGTCAGCATCATATGACTTACATGGACTTTAAGAGACTTACACACAATGAGGTTAATTCGACTTGCTATGATCTGATAAATGTCTGGAATACCAGTAAGTGCTGACTCACGTGATTAATTACTGAAGTACAACTCATACATTTTAGATTAAGTGAGTTACATTAAAAGGAGGTTAAAGAAGAACCACATGTCAAATAGAGAAGCAGGAGCTTACATGGAAAGGCAAAGCTTCCATTCTAATTTATACTTAAGGGAAGCAAATTAATAGAAACTTGTAAGAAAAGTACACTAAATTAATCTCAGTTCAACAAGATGATATTTCAAATAAAGAGGTAAAACATATAAAAAAAGAAATTCCACTAGTAATACCAAATATAGAACTAAGAATGTTATGCTATCAAGTCCCCAGTTAATGTCCTGAAAATTAGAGGGAAAAGGAAACCAATATTTCTGAGGTAAGTGAGCAAAGTAGTGGTAAATTTAAAAACTAATCATCTGTTTCACATTAGAAAAATAATTAAGGGGGTTAGAAAGTTCATGTGCAGAAAATATTTAATTTCACAGTTATTGTAACATATGAATGAGAATGACCAAGTATTTTCAATACCAGAAACAGAAAATTTGAGTACTTCAAAAAGGTTGTGAAAAATAAGTTAAAAAATAAATTTACTTTGGTGCCAAAATATTTTGAAATCCATGCATAGTTTTATAATATGCATTTCCATGAATTCTTGAAGATTCCTCATATAGCATATAAAATTAAGACCAGATAAGAATTCCTTGACAATTAGTACTAGTCACCAAAGTAAGTAATGATGACATTCTATTTATGTTATACAGTACCTGGCACAATGCAAGTTGTATAATAGATACTGAATGAATAAAAAAATTTGCTAGAAATATTTAAGAGTAAATTGATACATATAGCTCCAAGTAGAAGCAAGATATTACATTATAATTTAGTTACTTCTGGGCATAACATTCAGTAATTGAAAGCTACTGCTCCTGAGTGTTTACACTAATCTCTAGACTAGTTATTTATTCAAATAATTCTTGGGTAAACTAGAGATATACTGCAACTACCAGGGGGAAATTATTGGCTAAGTATGATTGATTACAGGCTTTCCAAGACCTTCATCAGAGATCATGTGAAATCTCTTTGGTGCAGGGAGAGAGAAGTGGACTCAGAAAAATTCTGTGTCCCAAGGAAATTCAGGAAGTGTTCCCCGGACTCAGAGAAATATCTTTAGGCCTTCTCTGGCTCTGAAAAAGAAAATTCTTGTACTATATACACAAAAGATAACGAAATGAATCAAAGCATACTACTACCACAAAACAGCAAACCACAATTAAAGACATCAAGAGAGGAATAAAGAACAAAAGAATTGCAAAACAATCATGAAACAATGAACGAAATGGCAATAGTAAGCCCTTACCTATAGATGATTATATTAAATGTTTCCCATTAAAAGACACAGAGTGATGGAATTTAATTTTTCTTAAAGATCTATTTATTTATTCGAAAGTCAGAGTTACACAGAGGAGAGGCAGAGAGAGAGAGAGAGAGAGAGAGAGAGAGAGAGGTCTTCCATCCAATGGTTCACTCCCCAATTGACTGCAACGGCCGGAGTTGTGCTGATCTGAAGCCAGGAGCCAGGAGCGTCTTCCAGGTCTCCCACGTGAGTGCAGGGGCCCAAGGATCTGGGCCATCCTCTACTGCTTTCTCAGGCTGTAGCAGAGAGCTGGATTGGAAGTGGAGCAGCCGGGGCTAGAACCGGCGCCCATATGGGATGTCGGTGCTTCAGGCCAGGGCGTAAACCCGCTGCGCCACAGCGCTGGCCCCAGAGTGACTGAATTTATTATTATTATTTTTTTTTTTGACAGGCAGAGTGGACAGTGAGAGAGAGAGACAGAGAGAGAAAGGTCTTCCTTTTGCCGTTGGTTCACCCTCCAATGGCCGCCGCTGCAGCCGGCGCACCGTGCTGATCCGATGGCAGGAGCCAGGATCCAAGTGCTTTTCCTGGTCTCCCATGGGGTGCAGGGCCCAAGCACCTGGGCCATCCTCCACTGCACTCCCTGGCCACAGCAGAGAGCTGGCCTGGAAGAGGGGCAACCGGGACAGAATCCGGCGCCCCGACCGGGACTAGAACCCGGTGTGCCGGCGCCGCAAGGTGGAGGATTAGCCTATTGAGCCACGGCGCCGGCGTTGAATTTATTATTAAGGAGAAAAAAAAAAACAAGACCAAAGAATTTGCTACCTAAAAAAGAATAAATTTACCCTTAAGAACACCATTATCTTAAAAATGAAGAGATGGAAAAATATTCCATGTGAATTATAATCAACACAGAGCATGGGTGACTATATATATATAAATAGTCACCCATTTTATATATATTTATATATAATTTATGTATTTTATATATAATACAATTTCTATATATGTGTATATATATATATATATATATATATA